CTTACAGCGGCACCAACATTTAGATCAACCCCCATTTGGCTCACCTTGCAGCGGCTCCTGGGCGAACCTGGCGTGAGCAACCAAGATTGGGCCGCTGCCCGCAGACTCACGTTCCTGCCGGCACACCTTGGCGGGTTGGGCTTGCCGTGCGCCCACCGCCTCCGCCCTGCAGCATGCCGGCGTGGGCAGATGCCCTTCCAGTACTTCGTTGCGTCTGCGAACTGTTGGTTGAGGACGAGGCGGCTGGAGCTGTGCTGCGCGAAGCCGCGCTGGCAGCGCGCGTCCTCGACGCGGCCAGTTGGGAGGCCCGGCCATCCTGACCCGCCCTCCTGGCAGCCTTGGAGCCGCCCCACGACTCGGACCTTGGTGAATGTAGCGACTGAGGATGGCAACTGCCAGCCGCTTCCGCACTCAACCTTCCATATAGGGAGCGGGAGATCATGCCTGATCTTGAGCAAGCTTCGCAGCGGCGCCCAGGCGGGCGCGTGGCTTACGGCCACGCCATCCGACCCGGGGACGCAGCTGTCGCCCGAGCACATGTCGATTGCTCTACGCCGTCTCGCTGGCCCAACGCAGGTGTGGTGGCCTTGGCCAACCCGGGTGTGGTCGCGCAGTCGACGCCCTCGGCGATCACCGCGTGTCTTGCCCGCGCTCCGGCCTGTACGCGCTCGGGTGGTGGAACAAGCTTGGGTCCGCGTGGCACGGGAAGCGGTGGGGCCCGAAGGCCGGGTAGCGCGACAGCAGTAGCTGGCCAACGCTACAGATCCTGGGGTTCAGGCGGAGGATCGACGCCGCCTGGATCTGGTCGTGTATGGGGCCACTGAGCGAGGCGAGGCGTTGTGTTGCGATGCCAAGCCGGTCAGCCCGTTGGATATGCAGGACAGACCGCGCAGGTGATGTTGCTGGATGGTCCCTCCCAAAATGCCGCTGGCAGCAACAGCTCCCCCCCTCCTCGGCTAGCGACCGTTGAAGGACAGCAGAACAGCATGCACGGAGGAAGCGCAGAACGGCCGGAAAGCTGCGTGAAGACAAGCTTGCTCCATATGGGAGGGAGAGCAGCGCGTCCCGGGTTGCAAAGCCAGCTGCACGCTATCTACCTCGACCGTAGAAGGGTTCCACTTTTTGTTGTTGGAGTCGTGCGAGGCGTTTGGCTTGCTTGCTTGCTTGCTTGCTTGCTTGCTTGCTTGCTTGCTTGCTTGCTTGCTTGCTTGCTTGCTTGCTTGCTTGCTTGCTTGCTTGCTTGCTTGCCTTGCAATACTTTGATGAATCGCGAGAGCGCCAAGTAAGAGTTTATGCTGTTGGGGCTAACCCCACATCCGTGCTGCATCCCCAAGTTTGAGCGAATTGACTTCCTGCTTTCAGAAATGCGCGTGGCACGTGCTTTTCATGATTTTTCCAGTCCTGGCAACGCTGAAGAGTTTTGCGCCAACCATGTTGGCCCAAGGTTCCATCTCAAGCCGTGGCCTGGGGGCACGTTGTGATTCTTTGGTTCTGGCGGCCCGCGTTGTTCCCAGCCTTGCCCACAGCTCCAGCTGTCGCCCGTTTCTCTCCCGTGTCAGGACTGTTGGATATCCATGTCTGGCGGCGTTGTTGCGTTGAACCATGTGGTCACCCCCCTCCTCACGTGTGCAATTGGCTGCAATGGTTCGCAACATCCGCGATCTTGAATTATGAACGGAGGCCGTACTCGCGCGTATGTTAACGGGCGGGTTTGCCGAGCTGCGGGGGCCTGGTTGCGCGGGTGTGAGGTTTTCAGGTTGATACAGTCATATCCGCATGCATGAACATTGCCTCCAGGATATGCCGGATTGAAGCATTGAAATCGCGAGTTTTTTCTCGCAATAGCCCAGCAAAAGCGCCAACACATGATACATTTCCTCGACCAAGAGGTCAGGCTCCAAGTTGTTGGAAAATACACGGCAAAAGTTTGGAACTTGTAATTGCCAATGACACTATTCTTGCGCCTGCCAGGGGTGAAACACCGCGCGCGAAGTGAGACCGCAGAGGTGAAACAACCGAAGCACAGAGCCCCAGCGGCACTCGCGCCCCGAGACAAGGGGAGGGAGCGCAGGGCCTCAGCCTTGAAGGGGGAGACGCGAGACGCCGGAGCACGGCGACCGCATCACCGTGCCACCGCCCGCCGACCTCGACTGCCAACACCAGGAGGCACTGTGGCCCGGGACCGGCGAGTTCCGGGTAACGGGCCCTCTTCCGCCTGTCCGTCGTGGACAAAGCGACGCCATCGTGCGCTGCCGCGCCCGCGTGAGGGCGTCAGCTTTGTCTGGCAACAGTCCCACTCAGCTTGCGGATTTTCAAATCGGGGCCCGGCCTCTGGCAGGGAATGCAATGACGGCCGCCGCGCCAGGATGAACGCATTTCCTTAATCGTGCGAGACTCGGGTGTGGAAGCCGCAGTTGAGCTGCCAGGCCTCACGGACGCAAGTGCAGCTGATGTGTGGCGGGGAAATTTTCAACCCCCCGCAGGAGAGTAGAGTAGGAAATGCAGTTGTGCGGGCCCAGCTTCGCGCAGTTCGCAACAAGCACGTGCGCCTCCCGCGGGTCCTTCCGGCCCTTCCTAACCTGCAGGTTGCCTGGTTGCTGTTGTTGTACAGCGCGTTGCCGCGGTCCAATAATGCCCTTTGTATCATGCACCCAGCGCTCTGCTGTGCAACAATCGCAAACCCCGTTTGCCATCTTTTCCTTAGATATTATTGCCCCCATCCGGACTTGGCTATCCGGGAATTTTGTCACCCCATCCACTGCGCCGCTGTGCGTGTTGGAAAGCGGTAGCATCAAAACTTGCCACCAATACTGCTGGCAAGAGCGCCCACTCATGCAGCAAGCGGCTAGCAGGCCGATCGCGCAAGTGTATGTCTCTCTGCCAGGCTGCGCTTCCGGTTGCTGCGCCACACGTTTCTTTTTTGAAGTTTATACACATATATCTATGTATATATACAGAGGCGGTTCTGCATAAACACCTGTTTTCACATTTTGGGTCCAAACAGGCTTAAAACCCGGACAACCCCCCGGACAAACCCCCGGACAACCCTCCGGACAGCTTTGAGGACCCAAAAGCTCGGGACAAACCCCCGGACAAACCGGACAGCTTTGAGGGCCCAAGAACCCGGGACAAACCCCCGGACAAGTCTTCGGACAGGTTTGGAACACGCCAAAACCACTCGGAAACCACTCGGAAACCACTCGGAAACAGCTCAGAAACCACTCGGAAACCGCTCGGAGGAAAGTATTCTCGTGGGAGAGGGTGTTTGCAGCATAACCCTCGGCAAAATGCGCGGACAACCCTCCGGACAACCTTCCGGACAACCCCGCGGACAACTTGCCGGACAGTTGTTTGTCCAGCAGTTTGTCCCGCACTTTGTCCGGCACTTTGTTTCGCACTTTGTCCCGCACTCTGTCCCGCATATTTACGGGGGTGTTTATGCAGAAGGGCATTCGTCAATATATATATATATATATATATGTATTTTTCACCATATATATATATACATATTATACCGCATTTGGACTTGGCGATCCACAAATTGCTTGCAAAATCAACAAACGCCTTTCCATTGCTTTCCAAATTGCACTTCAAGCCAAGCACTTGGAGCTGTGCACAGCACTGGGGAAACTCGGCTTGTGTTGCCCGGTAGGCCCGTTGTTGTGCTGTTTCTTGGACTTGCGGTCCTGGAAATGTGAGGGGGCATCCACCTGTTCCGTGGCCTGCGTCAGTGATTGCAAGCCTGGTCCCTTCATCTATTTTGTTCAGTCGTCAATGAAGACTCCCACTTGCACTGCCGGCACGAACCGCCGCCGTTGTCCACACACACATGACTGCGGGGAACGCGATGCGGCGTTGTAAGGCTGTTTGAGTACAATGCTGTTTGGCGATGGCGGGGAGGCCCGCTTCCGGACGTTGCCGTCCGCAGTCGCAGCTAGCCCCTTCGTGTCCTAGCTGAAGGCAAAGGCGTGCTCAGGCAACATCAGGACCGGACTGCGACAAAAACATGGCAGCGGATGCGTCACTGTGCGCACAGAACGTGTTGCAAATCTGCGGCAGTCTCAGGCTTGCGCCGCTCGGCGCTACCAGGGCCGAGCCGAGGGTGTGACTCTGTGCTCAGCCCGCCAAGGAACGCACATGCTTCGGCCCGACTCGCGTTGCAGGTTGTCCTCGCGCTTGTGAAGTTGGCAGACACTTCAGTCCGGAGACAGCAGATTTTTGTTCAGCGGCTAGCAAGCGCATGCCGCACGTATGCTCGCTAATTCGGCCGCGGGAGTGGACGGACGGGCCGCCGCCTCTTGTTTCTGACGGTGGTGAGCCTTTTGCCGGACGCAGCCGCGTCCGGCGAAAAAGGCAAGCGCCTGCCAGCATAATGTGAGGAGCTGGCCTCCATAAAAGCAGCCGTAAAGACCTCCAGTGCCCGGAAACGCCCCCAAAGACGGGATTGCGTGGCGGGAAAACATATATAATTGTGACCACGCCAGTTCCGGCGCAGTCGAGGCAACCCTGTGTCCCCCGTGTCAGGCCAGGGCCAGCCTGTGTGGAGGGGTGGCCGCGGCTGCCCTTGCCCTTGCGCGCCGGCGCAAGGAACGTGTGTACCCGAAGCTTCCTCGATCAGTGCTGTCGTCATGTTGTGCTTGCAGCCAATGTTGGAGGCCGGTGGGGCGAGGAGTTGCTCGGCAATCCTGCCCCGCCGGCACTTTTGGAGTTGTCCGTACGCCTGCCAAACCCAGCGCACAGGGCTGGCAAGCGCCCGCTACCGCTGCCATTGCCGAGCAGCTCCAAGCTACCCTCCTGCCACAGCTTGATGCTTGCTCCGAGCTGACCTTCCTTTTGACCACCTGCGAGCCTTTTTGTTGCGGCGTTTGCGCCTTACCTGGCCTGAGCGCAGAGGGCCCCAGCCCAAAACGAAACAAACAAAAACGCTACAGAAGAACAGCCCCGGCAACAAAAGCGCAAGGTTGCCTTCCCCTGCAAAGATTGGTGCTGCGGACTCGCCAAAGCTGTTTAGCTCAGCAAGCCAAACCTTGTGCTGGTAGCCATGGGGGCCGGCTTGTTGAAACGCGAGGTGCGCAGGGTGCTTTGCAGATGACAAGGTGGCGCTGTTTGGGCTGCGCCATTGGTAGGCTAGCGCCCGGCAGCAACCAATGCGTTGCAGATCGCAGGCTCAGGCGCAATTCCGGCGCTTCACAGTCCCACTTGCGAAGTGTGAAGGATGGGGGGAGTAGCTTGTCAGAATGCAGCCAGGTGCCTCGGTGCTTCCAAGACGTCAGATGTCCATACCCGCAGGCTGGTTGCTAGTTGGCGGCCGCGCGCATATCATGAACCGGGCGTTGCAATTGACAGGCGGAAACAGTCCATGGCACCTTTGGAGCGATCAATTACTCATTGACTGGCCCGGAACTGGGCGAGGCACGGTAAAATTGTACCATTTGCCCATTTGAATTTGCCACCGAATTTGATGCAGGTTGTGGTGTGCTTTCACGGCTTGAATGGCTCCCGATTGTTGTTCCAGGACGCAGTCGTTTGTCTTTTTCTCCTTTCTGTCTTTATTTCTTTCTTTCTTTCTTTCCTTCTTTCTTTCCCTTTTCATATGTGGGTGGCAGCCGGCAATTGCAGGACACAGCCACGTATTTGAGTCGGCACGGTGGCTTTCGAGTTCTGACCTTTGCCGCTGGGCGGCAAGTAGCCCGAGCTTGGCGTGACTCGGGGACTGAGTTGTTCAAGCGGCTATTTTGTTTCAACTTTTTCAACAAGTTTGAAATCATTTTGAGACATTGGCCCACAAGGCTCACATGTGTCTTCCCGTGTTTTTGTTATTTTTGTTTTTTCTATGCAAGTCAGGACTTGTACGGGCACGGCCTGAGCAATGCTCCGCCTGTAGAACCTCAGCTGCACCTTGATGCGATGCGCAACGCAACGCTTGCTCTTGCACCAAGCTTTTTGGTGTGGGGGGGGGGGGGTTGGGCTGCATCAGGACCTGTGCCCCAGCAGTGCGTGTTCCAGTGGTTGTGCCGCCGGATGCTGTTCCAGCAGCGGGGCCAGGGCGAGGCAGGCCGAGTGCGAGGGACAAACTGGGTTGGGTATGCATATGAATTTGGACCCTTGGGCCCTTTGCCGGTCTTTTTTTTTTGGTCCAGCCCCCTCTGAAGCACGTGGCCGGCTGGGTAAACTGGGGCTTTACCCGGCAGTGCGCCAGGTACGATTTGAGATTCTTTGTCGAGCAGACCTCCGAGTTGTTGGAGCTCATTGGACCGGCGCTCAGCTGCTTTTGTACCTGTTCTCCGATGCCGACCCCGCACTTGTGAACCCTGTGGATTGATTGGGGTTGCTTCCCCCCAATTGTGTCCTAATCAAGGGAAAGGCGTGCGAAAAAGAAGCAAACAAACAAGCGGGGGGTTAAGTACTCCCTCGGTCCCATTGGGCTGTGCTTGAGGGCTGGGTGACGCGCGGGTGAACCTCGTGGGCTTCAGCCTTGGAGGCTGGGATCGCGGTTGGGTGCGAAGTGCCATTGGGCTGGCGGCTGGCCATTGGGGGAGGCCAGGCCAAGGAAGCAGCATGGGCATCATGGGCTAAGTAGGCCTGAGGAGAGTGCAGGGAAAAGTAAGATCCCTAAACAAAACTGTTCAGGCAATGAAACCCATGTTGAATTTCAGAAGCCGCCTTCTGCCAGCCAGCTTGGAATTAGCATCCTCTCGGGGTCTTGATACTGCGCGTTTTCAGACGGCTTCTCGGTCTTCCACAGTGGTTGCTTTTCTTGTTGTCTTGTTAAAATGCGCAAGCGATCCTACCTCGTTTGCCAGGAGTTTGAGGGTCAGTGAGCAGGGTGAAATATGGTTGCTCGATTCAGGCGCCGTGGCAATGGCTTTCGCACAGCGGTACCCGAAGAGGGTCCTTGCCCCAGTTTGTGCTGAGCGTTGCGCAGAGAGCTGTGCGGGAATGAGGTCAAACGCATTGCGGCGATTTCACCGGCTGGCTTCGTTCCGCATGTCCCGACTTTGTACTATGGTTTGAGGGTGGGGCGCTTAGCTTGTGATGGAAGAGGCCAATTGAACGGATTTTTGCTTGGTGATGGACTCATTTGCCGTGCCCCGAGGCGTGCTGGTGCTGTTTGATCCCACTAGCGCCGCATGTCCTCTGCACGTGCTGGTACAAGAAGGATCGCTTTGCCAGGCGATGCCTTTCCACGTGATCCCCCCCCCCCCCCCCGCGTCTTATTGTGGCTGCGCAGGTCCTTTCAAGGACAGGGCGAGGCGCGGGCTGCATTTACATCATTTGCACAGCTCTAAAACAGGCATATTTGGTACTTTGTACCTGCTTCCAAGTGTGGTATGCGTCTTTGTGGTCAAAGCGAAACCAAAAGGAGCGCCATTTTGGAGTTGGCTTTCTATTTCCACTATTGCTGATCAGGTTGGGTTAACAAAGCAACAACCAGCCATTTCGGGGTTCCCCATTTTGACACCTTTTGGAGGAGTTTCCCGTACTCTTCAAAATCAACCCAGTCCCCACTGAAAGCGCTGATTCAGAGGGTGTGACTCCTTTCGCCCTCGCCTGCCCTGGCAGAACAGCATGGACGAACAAACGATCACGAACCTGTGGTCGCGATTTGTGGCAGCCTCGGGGCGTCCCGCGGCAATGTTGGCACCGGCCACCGTTATTGCCCGGCCACGAAGAGTCGAAGAGTCCGGTTGGAGTTGATATTGTCTAAGTTGGCTCAGGTTTGTGTTTGTGTGGGGTTGGTTTAGGGTTGGTGTCGGTTAAGGTTCAGCCCTTTGCATAGAAAGCCACCAATGCTGAGCAGAGGGTTTGTCTTAGAAGGGGAAGCCCTGCAAACAGGAGGTTGCATTTGGGTTTCCCAACCCCCAACAGGGAACCCTGACCGCACCTCGCGCCCCTTGCCTGGCGCGAAAACGAGGTCTGGCAGCTCTTCGTGAAGCGAGGGGTTGCCAGGGCCACCTTGGCCACCTGCAACAGGGCCCGGAGCCAAATCTCGCGGTTTCTCTGCAGAAGTGGCAAGGCATTTTGCAGGTTTCAGGCTGCTTGGGAGTGGGGGACACCTCTTTAAAGGTAATTTTTGAGAATGCGCCACTCATTCTGTTTGTGCTGGCCCCCTCAGCGAGGGAAGCGCAAGGCACTGACCTTGTTCTTGGGTTCTTCGGCCAGCTGTCGCTTTGTGGATTGGGCACTCTGAGATCAACTGGTTCAACCTGAGCGACCTGTACCAAGAAGTTGGCAGGCTGTCAGCGCGCGCTGTCAGTGGGTCGGGCGGCTTGCCTCATGAAGCTGCTAGGAGTCCTCGACCTGTTCTCTTGCTTTGGGGCGAGCGTGACAAGCTGAATCCACCCAATGATGTGGGGCAGAAGGCCTGTTGCACACAAGCCGCATAGGCTTCCAATGCGGGGGGATTTACCCTCCAATTGGGGGTTGCTGGAACTCCAGTCCCCTCTCGAAGGGTCTTTTGCAGGTTTCGGGGCGGGCTTTGGAGCTGTAGGGCCTTCGGGCGCCTACCGCCTTGCAGGTCGCGGGGTTCTTCTCCAATGCCAAGCTGGTGGTCGTCCCACGCGCCGGGCACATCGCGCTCTGCGACAAGCCCGCAGAGGTGGGAGCACGGGAGCCTCGGAGCCTCAGAGCCTCGCCAGCTGTCGCAGGTGGTCCCGCGCATCCTGGGCTTTCTGCAGCTTCCGGAGAACGCCAGCTGGAAACTGAGGGGCTTTGGGTTTTGACGCAGGTACCTCCTCAGAATTGGTGGACAGCAATGCCCATGCAAGTGAATGTTCACCAGTTGAAGCAGGCTCGTAAAGGAGCCCATGCTGTTTCCTAAAAGGCCTTTCTGAAGGAAGTTTGCGGCCGGATCTCGAACCCAAGGCATGTCCGCCGTCAAGGAGTTGAGGGCGGTGCGCGCATCGCAAGCGCATGAGGAGGACAGCTGCCCCGGCCTATGCCAGCAGTCCAGTGTGACTGTGGCCAGGTGAACGAATCCACCCAGCTCCTCAAAAGAGATGGCAACGTCCATGGCTCAGCTTGGGTCGGGTGTGGAGCTGCCCGCCGCCTTGCGGATTGAGGCCGAGATGCCGGTCCCAATGGTTCTGGGCAACGCGGAGGAGCGGCTTGCGGGGGGGGACGGCCCCGATGACTTTGCCATGTTTTAGTTCAGCCCCGTGCAGGACGACGTGTCTGCAGAACGAGGCAGCATTGGGTCGACATGCCAGGGGAAATGCTACAAAGGGCGCCAAATATCATTTTTTGCGAGTCAGCAGAGTTGTTAGGGGTTGGGTTAAAACTTGAAACTCACAACTGCTCGTGCAACCTTTTTCCGCTTCGCTCAAAAACGAGATGGCTGCCAGGAGCAGGGATTTCTTTGAGCCTCTGATTTCACTGCGGCCCGCCCGCAGATCACGGAGCAGGTGCTCGACAAGTGGGCAACTGGGATCCCTCGATGGGTGTGTCTTTTGCGAGGGTAGCCCGTTTTAGGCTGGTTAAAGGCGAAGCCAAAGGGAAACCTTCCATTTTGCCAGTTGCCCCGTTCCCTCCAACAAAAAGACAAACCTATGTGGCTTGGCCTGCCAAAGTGCAAGAAGTTGCGGTTTCACCTTTCAAAGAGGCAGACAGCACGTAGAGGCTAAAACATGAGTCCGGTCGCTAGGTTGGCTGCCTTGGCAAACAGCTTGCTGCACGTGATGCCGCGTCACAACAATGCAGTGTGGACGTGTCACACTCGCGGACCCGGACGGTCTAAAAGCGCACTTCGGCAGTTGAATGGTCAAGAAAGAGATCGAAGTGGACCCTCAGCCCTCTAAGAACGGGCCGGACTTTCTCAGCAGCAAAAAGCAGAACTTGCATCAACAGACCCCACTCACAGCCTGCTGTCCATGTGGCGCTGCCTCACTATTTCCTGGCTGGCGGAGGTGCCATGGTTTCGTTTGAGCATGGGCAAATTGCAAGTCCAACTCAAAAGGTCTGGGCTTCCAACTGGACATACTGGCTGGTTATGCGGCAAGTCAGCTGGCCACTTCGAACATTAGGACATTTATCGCATTGACCTGGCTGAGAACGTTGGGGGTTGGAGCCGTGCAGGTTCTGAGCGTGCCTCGAGAATCTCCAGACTTCAATGCTGAACTGCACGTGTGTTCCAGTTGCATTTGGTGGGGTTCACTGCAGGCGTTGCGGCCAGGTGTTTGTTTTCGCTCCTTTCGGGAGAGATGACCTAAGCTTCGGCTTCGATGCCAAGGCCGGACATGTCTTCCTCAGAGGACCTTCAGGGATCGAGATTGCCAGTTCAGCGCTTGAGTGGCTCCAGCTTTGTCTAGTAAGTGGGGACATGGCGCAACCAAGCCGAGACCAACATGGAAACCCATTGGGGGAGCGTCCCGCGCTACTACGTGGGCAACTTCCAAAGTCTGCTGGAAGTTTGCCTTGACCTCGAATTCTCTGGCTTTTTGTGGTAGGCTGCCTTTTCGCAGTTTTGCCGGGGAGGACATGCAACATTCGGTTTTGGCATGCCAAGACAAACACTGGGATTCAATTTGGCAGCTTTCTGCGACTGACAGCCTGTTGCGCCTCGGAGGCTTTGCACATGCCATGCCCCTGACAGCAGGAGGTGCTCTCAAGCTGAGACGTGCTGGTCATGCGTTTCATCAATGGGTTGAGGCAGCTTCACCTCGGGAAACCTGCCCGGGTTTATGAGTCGAGTTGGCTTCCCAAGCTCGGTTTGGCACCGAGTGCACTTGCGGCTTCTTTCACGATGTTTCGAATCTATCCAGGAGGTGCCACAAGTGGATCGACGGGAATCTGAAAAGGCAGGATGCTGGGCATGCTCAGGATTCTCGCTTGAAGCTTTTCCTGTACTGGTCAAACCATCTTTCCTGGCAGACGTTTGGACATGTAGTTATTTGCCTCCGCCCACTTCACAATGTTGTCGAGCCCTCTCGAGCATGATGCAATTCGCCATGCCCTTGCTTTGCGTTGCTTTTGCAATGGCCTTGCCATGCAGTGCTTGGGCTTGGCATTAGCTTTGACATTACCTTTGCTTTGGTGGCTCCCCCCTTTTGTTTAGTACACTCCGTGATGTCGAAGTCGACGGTGGACGATAGTGGCTACAGCAACAAGGATCCAAGATCTCACTTTGCTTTTCCATACTTTTTGTTTGCTCGCTTCTATCATTCTTGGACATTGCTCATTCCTGCTTTTGCTCTTGAACCCTTCCCATGCGTCTTTTGTATTGTTTCTTCCTCTGGCTTTAGCAACTTCCAGGCCCCTAGCCCAAGCACGTTGAAATCGAGTGGACACAGACTCCTGTCGGGTTCTTGTGGTTCTGTCCAGCGATCACTTTCTCTGTCTGCCCTTTGTAGCCTGTTCCAGTTGCGATAGCTTTTCACCCCCTGGTCAAAAAGACCCTTTTGCTTGGGGTCAGCCCAAGCACCCGCTGTTGTGGGGTCCCATGTTGTGAGACAGACCCGTTTCCCATGGAAGCCATGAGCGCGAAACTGCCAGGGCTGTCACTGGACGTCGCGGCTCAAGATGGAGCTCTGTGGTGGAGACGGCTGCCACGAGTCCGAGATCCTAGCCTTTGATTTCCAGCGACGCGCCTGGGAGTTTTACGAGGCCAGACTTTTCCAGGGGGAGAATATTGTTTTGGGTTTGCTTTCCAAAGATGGCCGCCGAAAACACAGCATGGTTTGCTTTGGCTGTGCTTTGGCGCAAACTTGAAGAGGGTTCCACAAAACGGAAAGAACCCCACTTGCATGGTAGGCAAGATGGAATGTGGCCTTCAGAAGGCGCATGGTGTTCTTCAGGCACACTGCCGTAAGCTCTGGGGGTGTAATTTTATGGGCAGTGTAATTTTAAGGGCCCGGATCCCAGATCCATCCATCTTTGGTTGATGGATGTTCGGCCCCTGCAGTAATCAGACATCTTTGAAAGCTAATTCACAGGGTTTCACTTGCTTGTTTCATTTAATTTTGTTTTTGTTTTTCTCTCGTCGCTTTCCTTGGCCCAGGGCAAAGCTGCGGCGCCGCCACTGGAAGAGGCCTTTCTCATCAAGACCATGCCGTTGGAGGCCCCAGGGAATGCCGCACATGGTGGACCAGTTCTTTTTTGTGAGTGGGGGGGTTCGTGGGGAACCCCTTTCTGGGCAAGAGAGGGCGTGCCCAAGGCCAGACTCTAGGAAGCAAAACATCGTACTGGGGCAGTTGGCAGGGATTGAACACATCGCCCTCAGTCACATGCGGGAAGCAAACCTTACCTTTGCGTTAGCAATTTGTCCTTAAAGTTGTTGCAAGCAAGGTGAAGGGACAATATGCTTTAATCTGCTCCCTCTCGCGTTCTCACGTTGCAAACCCGGCCTACATGTTTTTGTCCAAGATGCGGATAACGGACTCATCTCACTGATCTACTTGCGCCACTTCAGGTTTTTAATGTTGATCCGGATTGGTCAACTCCAAAAGTGAAGGATTCTCCCAAAAATGAAAGCCCCTCTATTGGTCAACCTGGTGCTTGGTAAT